TCGATCTTGGTGTTTGAATGACAGCAAAACTGGTCTTGTGAATGAAGACAGGATAAGTCAGTTGCCTGATGCTTTGATTCTTCAGATACTGTCTCTTCTTCCTTCAATAGATGCCATAGCCACGAGTGCTTTGTCTAAACAATGGCAGTCTCTTTGGAAGATGATGCCTAAACTCAACTTTGATTATTCCAATCACAAACTTGAACTCGGTACATTTTCAGAGAATGTTTGTAGTTCTTTGCTTTCTCACAAGGCTCCAGTTCTAGAGAGTTTACATCTCAAATTTAGTTTAGATAGATGTAATGTTATCATACCGGAATCTTGATTGGAATTGCATTTGCTCGCAATGTGCGTAAGTTGGTACTCGAAATCCAAGCTGGGAATGTGTACAGATTTCCTAGAAGTTTGTATAACTGTGAAACACTAGAGACCTTGGAACTCAGCTTTTCAATTTGTATGGATGTTCCTTCTACGGTTTGTTTCAAATCCCTTAGAACCCTGCACCTTCGCTATGTGCGATACAAAGATGAGGAATCGGTTCTTAACCTTTTATCTGGCTGTCCTAATCTTGAAAATTTGACGGTGCATAGAAATCTACTTAGCGGTGCCAATACTTTCACTGTCCGGGTGCCATCCTTACAGAGATTGTCAATTCATAATACTACTTTCGGGCGCAAGCATTGGGGCTATGTTATAAATGCTCCTTGTTTGAAATACTTGAAGATTCAAGGGCTTTGTGGTCTTGGTTTTTGTCTGATTGAGAATACGGCAAAGCTCGTAGAGGCAAATATCATTGATGTTTCTCATATATTAGATGAGAACATTCTAACATGTCTATCTTCAGTTAAACGTCTTTCCTTGGACTTATCACCAGTGGAGGTAGTTTCTTGCAACAATTTAATTGAGTTGTTATTACATTGTTTCAGTACTAATACTGCCTCATGCATTAGATTAAGTTTCCTACCGGTATCATCTTCAACCAGCTTGTATATTTGGAGCTACATACATATAAAGAAGCGTGGTGGAATCTTTTTGCGCTCATGCTCGATAGTTCTCCTAAATTGCAAGTCCTCAAGCTCATCAATGTAAGCAGTGTTCATCTATCAGCAATTTTTCTAGCTTAGTTTTAAGTTTGGTCATCTAACAATGTTATACATTGTGTTTACCTTTCATTGGTCTTAGCAAGTGGATTGGATAACAGATCTCGCGGCTTGCGGGAGATGGAATCAACCAGAGAATGTTCCTGAATGTTTCTTGTTTCATCTCGAGACATTCATGTGGAAAGGCTACGAATGGAAACAAGAAGATGAGAAAGAGGTGGCGAATTACATCTTAAGGAACGCAAATCGTTTGAAGAAGGCAATCTTCTCCTCAAAACCCATTGATTCTGAAACGAGACTCGAGATGGTTGAAGAGTTGGAAAGTGTTGTCAGGGCTTCAAATTCATGCCAACTTGTGTTTATATGAAACTTATATATCAGGATTTTCGATTATAAAAACAAATTGTATCTCTAATCTTATTTTCTTCTTGGTTTTCATATGATACTGTATGATATATGAACTGTTGGTTCGACTAGTTCTCGTGTTGCGAAAAAACATCACAGATGGACCCAATGTTTCGGTCTAAACCATAATTTGTTGAATTTGAAGAACGAAATACCGATCAAATTGACCGTGTTTAGACAAAAGTTTTCAAAAATTAAAATCTTAATTGCTTAACTCTTACAAAAGTTTCTAAGAAGCTGAAGAAGAAGGTATAGATGGAGGAATTAGAAGCTTCTTGACATTGTTAAACCGTCTTCGTATTCTCGTTCCCACTGCTTCTTGTCTCCTCCCTTTCGACTCCTTAATTAACAAACAACATAAAAATGTTACATACCTCAATAACACAATGTGCCATTTTACCAAATGCTATACACTCAATATTTCAAACATTCAATTTTTATATGAAATTTATATATACCTTGTTCTCGTCGAATGTGTGACTGTTCTGTGGAAGATCATCAACAACACCTACACAAAGAACAATACGATCTAAATGATGCATATTGTATCAATATTAACCAAGTGTAGTTTATTTTCTTCTACCAAATAAGTTTTATATAAAAAACAATTAATAAGCAAACGAACTTAACTGTCATCATGAGGATCTCGAGGGAAAACGCAATAGATACGAAAACTCGGAGATTCAGGTGAAATTTTTTATCTCGTCTCCTTTCTCTTCTTCATTTCTACATTCATCTTCCTCTTCCTTACTAGTCTTTTCACCACCGGTTTTGGATCTTCTGCTATGTGTAGACGTCTCTTTATCCGATATATAGCTATCAGCGATTTCGCTATCTTTACCGATAGATCCTTTTCGAGTTATCATCTTAAAAT